TTGTTCTCTTTCTTGCTCATTGCTTAAAAAAAAACATCTCATTGTCTGATTTCAGTTTCCCTAAAAACCCTGTGTCCTCCAAAGACTAAAGCTCTAAATGAAAATCTGGGTCCTACTTAACAAAGAGACTTCTGCCTTCCCAAGGAGGGAAGCAAATCTCTCCAAGGCCCCAAGAGTTCTGTGCCCCATATCATGGTGGGTCCTGCCCGCTACAGAGTCCCCTATCACCAGAGAGGGGGTCATGCTGCACTCAGAGCTCTCCCCGGGCATGCCGAATGTAGTGTTGATGCAACCTTGCTTCCTGGGCAAAGTCCTGACCACACTCGGTGCAGGCGAAGGTGCCAGGAGGGGCGCGGACCTCGTGCATCTGGCGGTGCCGCTTCAGAGAAGCAGCCTGCCCAAAGATTTTGCCACAGTCTGGACAAGGGAAGGTGGGCTGGCCAGTGGTAAGTGCAACCTGCGAGGAGGGCCTAGTGGATGGACCATGGCTTCGCTGGTGGGCAATCAGGGCCTTGGAGGAGGGGAAGGAGCAGGCACAGGTGAAGCAGATGAAGAGTGCCCCCTGCAGCTTCTGGGCCACGAAGTCAGCTGGGTGCTCCCGCTTCATGTGACGCTCCTGGAACTTGGAATCTGCGAAGGTGATGAGGCAGCGGGTGCACTGCAGGGCTCCTGGGTGGCCTGAGGGATGTGAGGAGAGGTTTGGGGGAGGCCAGCAGAAGTCTCTCGGACCTCTGCTGAGCCCCAGAATCATGCCAACAATTAATACTGAGTGCAATGTGCTAGGCTATATGCCACTGGTTCTCAACCTTCCTAATACAGTTCCCTTTAATACAATTCAGGTTGAGAACCGCTGCTTATGCTAATGCTGGACTAATGCTAGACTAACCGCTGCTAATGCTAATGTATGGGAGAACTGCTGGACCTATTTTATGGATGAGCAGACTAAGGCTCAACGAGGTTAGTCATGAGGCTAGGAAATGAAGTGGTAAAGCCAGGATTGAAACCCAGAGCATTGGCCTATCCAACAGAGTGGTATGGTGATTAGAGCACAGCCTTTGAAGCCAGACTACCTGGAGTTGAATCTTGGCTCCACCACTTCCTAGGCAATTAGAAAAGTTTCCTCATCTGGAAAATGAGGTAATAACAGTATATACTATGTAGAGTTGCTGGAAGGAATTAATTTGTTTAAGTGCATAAATAATACTATACAATGTTTTTCAATTATTACTACATTTTTGTTGTCTCTGTCACCTTGGGTGGAATGCCATGGCATCATAGTTCACAGCAACCTCAAACTCCTGGGTTCAACCAATTCTTTAGCCTCAGCTTCCTGAGAAGCTGGGACTATAGGCGCCCGCCATATCGCCTGGCTATTTTTTTCCCTCTAATTTTAGTAGAGATGGGGACAGGTTGCTCTTGCTAAGGCTGGTCTCAAACTCCTGAGCTCAAGCTCCTGCCTTGGCTCCCAGAGTGCTGGGATTGCAGGTGTGAGCTACTGCACCAGCCCAATTATTACTACTGAGACAGAAAAGCAGCCTGACATCTGGGATCTTGCCTGGCACTCCCAGCTGAGCCTTGATATTCTTTTTTTTTTTTGAGACAGAGCCTCAAGCTATCCCCCTGGGTAGAGTGCCGTGACTTCACAGCTCACAGCAACCTCCAACTCCTGGGCTCAAGTGAGTCTCCTGCCTCAGCCTCCCAAGTAGCTGGGACCATAGGCGCCCGCCACAATGCCCAGCTATTTTTTGGTTGCAGCCGTCATTGTTGTTTGGCAGGTCCGGGCTGGATTCGAACTCGCCACCTTAGGTGTATGTGGCTGGCGCCTTAGCCACTTGAGCCACAGGCGCCGAGCCTGGGCCTTGATATTCTTGATTATGTTTAACATAAACAGTTTCACAGAATATTAACAACAGCGAAGGCCATGCTGTGACTGGAATGAATCAAGAAAACAAGACGGCTCGGCGCCTATAGCTCAACCGGCTAAGGCGCCAGCCACGTACACCTAAGGTGGCGGGTTCGAATCCCCAGCCCGGACCCGCCAAACAACAATGACGGCTGCAACCAAAAAATAGCCGGGCGTTGTGGTGGGCGCCTGTGGTCCCAGCTACTTGGGAGGCGGAGGCAGGAGACTCGCTTGAGCCCAGGAGTTGGAGGTTGCTGTGAGCTGTGATGCCACGACACTCTGCCCAGGGGGACAGCTTGAGGCTCTGTCTCCAAAAAAAAAAAAAAAAAGAAAACAAGACAACACCAAAATAATATCTGAACATAGACAAAACGTGAATGTTGTACACGTCTGAACAATAACCAAACACCCTCTATCCTGGCTAATGTGAATTAACTGCTGCTGCTTTATCATTCACAGTTTTTTGTTTTTGAGACAGGGTCCCACTATGTAGAGTGCCGTAGTGTCACAGCTCACAGCAACTGCAAACTCTTGGGCTTAAGTGATTCTCTTTCCTCAGCCTCCCAAGTAGGTGGGACTACAGGTGCCCACCACAATGCCCAACTATTTTTTGGTTGCAGTTGTCGTTGTTTAGCAGGCCCTGGCCAGGCTCAAACCCGCCAGCCTCGGGGTATGTGGCCAGTGCCCTACTCACTGAGCCTATCATTCATAGTTTAAGCCTCACGTTTTTCTCCTCTCTTTCTGGATAAGGTTTTTAAGGATAGCCGATTATGGCCAGGCACTGTGGCTCATGCCTGTAATCCCAGCACTTGGGAGCCCAAGGTGGGTGGATTGCCTGAGTTCACAGGTTCAAGACCAGCCTGAGCCAGAGCAAGACCTTATCTCTAAAAATAGCTGGGTATTGTGGCAGGTACCTGTAGCTCCAGCTACTTGGGTGGCTGAGGCAAGAGAATCACTTAAGCCCAGGAATTTGAGGTTGCTGTGAGCTATGATGCTACGACACTCTACCAAAGGTGACAAAGTGAGACTCTGTCTCAAAAGAAAAGGATAGCCATCATGGAATTGCCCTGCTTTCCAGATCCTGAGCAAACCCCCTTCTTTGAGCCCGCCTTAAAATTGCCACACACATGCCCAAATCCTGTACGTCACTTTTTTTTTTTTTTTTTTGCAGTTTCCAGGGCTGAGTTTGAACTCATCACCTCTGGTATATTGGGCCAGTGCCCTACTCCTTTCAGCTACAGGTGCCGCCCCCTGTAAGTCACTTTTAACTCTCTTAATGAGACATCCCACAGTTTCCCCACAGTGTGTGTTCTTTGTTGTAATAAGCAATAAACCCAACTTGATCAACTACAAGTGTGTTTTGGGGGGGTCTTTGACTAAGGGCATTGATACTACCTTTCTTGTTACAAATACTTCTCTCTGCCTCAGTTCCCTTAAGAAATAATACAAATTACATAGGGTCAGTTATTAGAAGGGCTGAATGAAATATGAAAGTTAAAACTCATTCATAATATGAGTGCACCTTGCACATAATAAACATCTGGTAGGAGCTGTTTCTATTACATATCAAACTGGCTACTTTCATTAAGATCCAAGCTTTCCTCTTTACTGCAGCTAATCTCCATAACCACCCTGTGAGGTGGGTAGTTGCAGCCTCTTTTGACAAGGAAACCAAGGCCCAGGTCACACTAAAAGTGTAGGGAAGAGTTGAGACCAGAACCTTGCTTCTCTCACAGTAGAGACATCCCCAGCCACATCTCCAGCCTAGGCCTCTCCTGAAAGCCACCCTATCCCTCTGAACTGCATCCCATTCCTCTGTGGGATGCGTACATGTGATTGTAGTGTGTAGAGAGATAGTTCCTCGTAGGGCAGCTCGGGGCCTTTACAGCCTCTTCCCAAATAGGCACAGCCCTAAAGCGTTATGGACACTGAAATGCTGTAGAGATCTTTTCAGCATCAGCTCCTGCATCCCACCCTCCCTAGCCAGCTAGTCATCTGTACTCACATATGCTGCCTCCTGGACTTTGGGGGCTCCTCTCATTGGGTGAATCCTGCTGCTCCATGGGCTCTTCAGGGTGTGGGTCCTCAAGGGTGACTGTGACCCCACTGGTCAAGAGAGGAGCATACAGGAGAGAAGCCACTCACTTGTCACAATCCTTAAAGGGCATGCTAATTCTATGACCTTTGACATTGGTAGATGTCTGGAATCTAGATGATTGGATTCCCCTGGTCTGTGACTTCCCTAGAGCCTTATTGCCTGTGTGACCTATGATCCCCTGCATCAAACTAACTCCCTGAACTCAGCGTGGGAATCTTGATCTTTGACATTTAGCTTCATCTCAGTCTTCAAAGAAAAAAAAGTGTTGAGCTTCGGGTAACAGTCCCAAGTGTCTTGGGACAGGTAATGATACTCACCTTTTAGCTCGCTTCTTCCCAGAAGACATCATTCTGTGACATCTGTGACTTTTCTTCTACCCAGAGCCCCCGCCTCCCCTTGTTAGCACTGCCTGCTCCAGAGGCCAGTCGTCCAGGCCTCTGCTTTTCTGAGTATAGCAGAGGGCTGCCTTTCGCTACACCTGTCAGTCCCTTGACACAGCGCCTCCACCCAGAGGGAGGTAGGATACGGCCCACTGAGTCTCAAGGTTCCCGTGCCTTTCGCCTAAGGAGCCTTTCAAAGATAAGATCCTGGATTGCCACCCCACAGTAGTATGGGTGCGGTAACCCGGTCCTCAAAAATAACTGAGGCGGTAGTGGTCCTTCTCTGCACTAGGGAGCGTCCTGATGATGTCACCAGCTGTCCGTACCGTGCAAATCTAAGCTTATTGCGCAAGTACGGGTAGCGCGCAAGCGCTTTGGCTCTCTCATTGTTCTTGGGATATTCTGAGACTGCCGAAGCTGGGAGTGTGCGCGCTTTGGACGTTCTGCGCAGGCGCTGAGAAGCTTCCAAGACACACCCCCATTGCCGAGTCTGGGACGTCAGGCATGAACCACGAGAACTCGTCCCCGCATTCCTAAATCCCGGAGGTCTTGCCTCTTCGGCCTCCGTCCGTCGGATCCCAGGGGCGGGGCTTCTCGGCTGCAGACTGGTAGCCACCGAATGCGCTCTGCCCCAATCTCTGTCGGCCGTTTGCTGGGTTGGTAAATTGGAAGGGGAGAGGGAAGGATAAAAGCCCCAGAGTCTCTAAGGGATGATGAATTGGAGCCCAGATTTCTGAAGCTTTGAAACAGAAAGGGAAATAGTTGCATCCCGAAAGAGGGAAAACGGGACGCCTATGTCCCTGGGGAATAGGGCCTGGGCTCTGGATTTCTAGATCCTAGAGAGTGACGCCCGAAAATAAATGAAGGAAGGGGGCAGGGTGGAGAACTAGAGTGAGGCGGCTAGGAAAGAAAAAGCTGGGTGCTCCCTGACCCGGGTTTTCCCCGCACCCTTGCTTTCCAGCTATGCCTCTGCCACAGGGTGACGTGACCGCCTTGTTCCTGGGGCCTCCGGGCTCAGGAAAGTCTGCGCTGATCTCAGCACTGTGCGACAAGGATATCGAGACGTTAGAAACCCACGAGGGACGTCCAGACTCCGGGGTCCCCAGCCTGAGAGCTGCTGGCCCAGGCCTCTTTCTGGGCGAGCTGAGCTGCCCGCCTGCAGCACCAGGGCCCTGGGCAGCGGAGGCCAACGTTTTGGTCCTGGTGCTACCCGGATCCGATGGTAACGGGGAACCCTTGGCCCCAGCGTTGGGAGAGGCAGCGCGGGCTGCCCTGGCCCGAGGGACTCCGCTCCTGGCTGTGCGAATCCTCCGTCCTGGGGATTCACAAAATGACACCCAGGCCCGGGATCAGACAGCAGCTCTGCTGGACAGCGCAGGGTTAGGATCCGCGGCTCTCTACGTGGTACCGGCCGATTGCAGCAGCAGTGAAAGCTGCGAGGAGCTAGAGCGCCTGCGGACTGCGCTGCAGAGCCAGGCGGAGACACTACAGAGGTGAGCAGCGGGTTTCCGGCTGGGTTGGGGAGGCTTGGTCCCTTAGTCTGACCCCATACCCTAAGACGCTCTTTGAGGTCCGGGAGACTCCGGCTCTAGTGAATTGGGGCGAGGCTTAATTTGATACCTGCAGAGGCCCTGCTTGGTCTTTCAGGCCTTGCCTCTCAGCACAAATTTTTGAGAGCTAGGACACTCAACCCCTTGGTGCTTAACCCTTTTTTGTCATCTAGGTCCCACCCTAGCAGAGAGTCAAGTGGCGGTCCCCACCTCCAGTGGGAGCTCTGAATTGTAGGCGATGCCCAGATCTATTGCCCAAATACTGCCCTACAGGCAAAATTTTGAAGGAGAGCAGCTCCCTTTTGCCACACAAGTTTGTGATCTTCTCAATTTTGTTTTAACCTGAAGACTCAAATTCATTTTCTTAACACATTCAGAGAAATTTATCTAGTAATGAACTATAGAAATGATCCCTGAAAGTATAGTCTTTGAAAACTTGAATTCTTGAACCTTCTCATCTTCCATACCATCAGCTTGGTTCTCAAGTGACCCCAGTTGCCCTAAGCCACACCCTTATTGAGTTTTATCATTTCTGGATGTCTTCCCCCCACTTCCTTTTGTCAGTCTCCTCTCCTATCTATGACCACTTGCTGGCTACCTCCTGAATATTCTCCCCCAGCTGCCAGCTGCTTCATTTTCTACATGTCAAAATAAGGCTGGAAGGGGGAAGCCTCTTGTCCAGGTCCACTGTTCACCTTTTATTTTTAGCCTTACCTTAGCCACACCCCTCTGGTAAGAAGTAGAGAAACTTCCTCCCCTCGCGGACCCTCTCTAGGGCCAGCCTTAAGAAAGAGTGCCCTTGGAGACCTTGCCTGTGCTTAATTTTGGACTTTCTGAAACACAGTCGCTATTCTGTCTTTGCTCTAAGGCCCACCCTCTGTGAGCTTTGTCCCACTCAGCACAACCTTTTCTTAATCTGGCAGACCTTTGGAAAACCCCTGTTCCCAGAGACTATCCTTAAGAAGTCTGATCTCCAAGGCTGGACATAGTGGCTCACGCCTATAATCCCAACACTAGGGAGCCCAAGGCTGGTGGATTGCCAGAGCTCACAGGTTGGAGACTAGCCTGAGCCAGAGTGAGACCGAATCTCTAAAAATAGCCTGCGTTGTGGCGGCACCTGTAGTCTCAGCTACTTGGGAGGCTGAGGCAAGAGAATCGCTTAAGCCCAGGAATTTGAGGTTGCTGTGAGCTATGACAGCACAGCACTCTACCGAGTGCAGCAAAGTGAGACTTTATCTCAAAAGAAGAAAAAAAAAAAAGGAGTGGCTCGGAGCCGGTAGCACAGTGGTGCCCTCAGAGTGGCCCCCTCCTTTTCCTGTTCCTCCCTAGCTTTGAGATGATTCGAAAGCCCTGCCCTTAACCCCATCCCTCCCTGTCCCCGCAGGCTCTTGCCACCAGCCCAGGATGGTTTTGAGGTGCTGGGTGCCGCGGAGCTGGAGGCCGTACGTGAGGCCTTTGAGACTGGTGGCCTGGAGGCAGCACTGTCTTGGGTGCGGGCAGGCATAGAGCGCCTAGGCAGCGCGCGCCTGGACCTCGCTGTAGCCGGCGCTGCTGACATGGGTCTTGTCCTGAACGTGCTGCTTGGATTGGATCCTGGTGACCCAGGTGCTGTGCCTGTTTTGGTGCCCACTGGGGCCACTCCCTTCCCAGCCCCAGAGCGCCCCAATGTGGTGCTCTGGGCTGTGCCTCTGGCCCCTGTGGGCACTACCACTGTTGCCTCTCACCCGGCCCACTACGATGCCCTTATCCTCGTCACCCCCGGAGTCCCCACTGAGAAAGATTGGGCCCAGGTCCGGGCCTTGGTGCCACCAGATGCGCCACTTGCCTGCGTGAGAACAGACGGTGAAGGCGAGGATCCAGAGTCTCTGGAAGAAGAGAGCACGGTGGAGAAACCCAACAGCAAGAGCTTCGAGAACGCAGGCAGAGGGGATGCGGAGAATGCCCTCACTGAGGGAAGGGAGAGATGTGGCACTGGGTCGCAGAAAGCAGGCAGTGGGGAAGGTTCTGAGAAATCTGGCAGCGAGAATGTGCAGCACATTGTTGTTGGCGCCAAGAAATCAGGCAGTGGGGATTCAGAGCTGGGAGCAGCGGCTTTGAGTCCAGATGAGACATGGGAGGTGCTAGAGGAGTCACCACCGCCAGTGTTCCCTCTGCGTTTGAGTGGACTTCCGGGGCTGTGCGAATGGCTGCAGCAAGCGCTCCCCTCTGCCCAGGCTGGGGCGCTGCTGCTAGCGCTGCCACCAGCGTCTCCCACTGCTGCCCGAAAGAAGGCTGCGGCGCTCCGGGCTGGAGCATGGAGGCCAGCTCTGCTGGCTAGTTTGGCAGCGGCGGCAGCACCAGTTCCAGGGCTAGGCTGGGCATGCGATGTGGCCCTTCTGCGGGGTCAGCTGGCAGAGTGGCGGCGGGCAATGGGGCTGGAACCTGGGGCGCTAGCACGGCGTGAGCGTGCCCTAGGCCTGGCTCCTGGGGAGCTGGCAGCGCGTACGCATTTCCCAGGGCCAGTGACACGCAGTGAAGTGGAAGCGAGGCTGAGTGCCTGGGCTGGAGAGGGCACTGCTGGGGGCGCGGCCCTTGGCGCACTCTCTTTCCTGTGGCCTGCGGGTGGCGCCGCAGCGACCGGTGGCCTAGGCTATCGTGCTGCTCACGGGGTTCTCTTGCAAGCCCTGGAGGAAATGCTGGCAGATGCTGAGGCCGTGCTGGAACCCCCTGAGCCCGCCCAGTGAGAGATGGGATGCGGGTCTGGGCTTCCCCAAGTAGAGTGAAGGAGGCTTAGGAGTCCAGACCGTGGCGTGGGATGTCGGGACTTCTGCGATAGGAGTGGAGAGACTCACTCAGAATCCTGGGTACTTCAAAGAGCTCTATTTTACTTCTGGTTGGCATTTGTGGCTTCTCATCAGCTGGATTGTGGTTCCTCACCGGGACGTAGAATCTGGGGGACAGGACTCCTGATTTCTCTCGGAACCAGAAGACACAATATCTAGTCTCTTATGTCCAAACGGAGTTGGCCTGAACTCTAGAAGTGGCTATGTCTTGGTCTTCTAGGGAATAGAAGTGAGTAATTGGATGTCTTGTCTCTCAGGGGAGAGGGGGTAGAAGCCCTATTTCCTAAAAGGGTTTACTATGACTGTTACCTCAACTCCAGCACGGGGAAAAGGCCTGCACGCAGACTCCCCGGTCCCCAAGGAGCAGTAGCCTTTGAATCTTTATTGAGGAGTACCTGGGATCTCAGACTCCTGGCTCCCAAGAGGGCTATGGACCTTGGTTCCTAGTTCTTGGGTGGTGGGAGGTCTACATCTAGAAAAGGGATCAAGGGGCTTTGGGGGAAAAGTTGGAGACCTCTTGCTCTCTCTTGGGGAGTAGAAAGGTGTCAACTCTGCAAAAGTCTGGTTGTAGGGAGGATAGTCCAACAAAAATGAGAGGAAGTAAGAGGTTTGGGCATGGTGGGCCTGGGGTAGCCAGGGACTGGGATTGAGGCTTTCTGGGTATGAAAGGGTGGAAAACCATACCTCAGAAATTATCTTCACAAATCTTATATTTGGATTCTGGCAGTTGCCTCTCTGTGAGTTTGACTGGGAAGGGATGTGATGACCTTCATTTTATAGGTGCTGAGTGATTCAGTGGTCTCTGGGGAGTATGTTCCTCTGTTCCTCTTTCCTTTAGGGGTCTTAAATTTTTTTTCTTTATTTTAATCTTGGTTTTGCATGTCATTAAACCATAACCCATTCTGGCCTTGGTGTTTTGAGCACCTGACCTTTTGGAAAAGCAGCAGCACTGCTGCACTGGTCCAAACATTTTTGTGTGGCTACCTCAGGTATCCTCAGGAGGCTTGGCCTTCTGGTGTACACAGTGGGTGCTGCAGTGAGCAAAGGTCCCACAGAATGGCTGGGTGGTCTTCCAGATCATAGTAATGTGCCAAAAGTGAGGCAAAGGCAGAAACTGTAGTGCCTGGAATGTTCTAGGCTGCCAGCTACATACAGGGGGAAAACTGCAGGTTATAGAATTCTTCAATGTCAGAAACATAAAGGAAGGCCTGAGATGCCATGAAAGAGAATCTCTTTTGTCATAGATGGGGAAAATAAAGTCCAGAGAGGGCAGGCTCAAGACTCAGCAGCACAGAGCAATACCCTATGGGTATGCCCCCTGTCTCTCCTCACTTCCTGCCCTTCCCATCGCCAACCAGCCAGATAGGTCTTCCTTCTGCTGCTTGAGTGGGCCACCTTGAGTTCTGTCTCAGGACCTTTGTAGTGGCTGTTCTCTTTCCTGCAGTGCCCTTCCCTCACAACTTTCCATGACTAGCTCCTTATCAATCAGATCTCAGCTCAAATATCCCCTCACAGAGGACTTCCCTGACCACCCTAACTGAAGAAGCTCAGCCATCTCCATTATTCATCTGGCCAGTTGATTTTCCTTGTAGCAATTATTGCTAACAAAAATGACCTTATTTATTTATTTACCTATTTATTGGCTATTGAGCCTTGCCTATCGTCTTCTCTGCTGGATCCCCAGCACCTAGAACAGCAGGTGCCTGACACATAATAGGTGCTCAGTAAATATTTATGAAAGGGCTGGACAAGAACCATAAATACTTCCCAAGATCCTGTTTCCCTTGATAGCTCTGTTAGCATAAAGTAAGGAACCTGTGGCCATGGGGCCACATGTGGTCTTTCTGGATCCTTGAATGTGGCCTTTTGACTGAATCCAAATTTTATCAAACAAATCCTTTTTTTTTTTGAGACAGAGCCTCAAGCTGTTCCCCTGGGTAGAGTGCTGTGGCATCACAGCTCA